CTTCTGCTCCAGCCTGGCCCAAGGGATGGCTCTCACCTCCACGCTCATGGCCACGCTGCCCGGCGGCTTCTCCGCCTCCCCGCAGCACCAGGAAGCCCGGAAGTTTGCGCCCCCGGCTCTCCAGGGCAACTTCGACAAAGGCGACGGGATCCCGCCCGAGCACGACGAGGGGAAAGCTTTCCTGGGCAAGGAGAGCTCCCTGCTGGCCTTCGCCGCCGCGGAAGTCGTGCCGGCTTCCCTGGGTGAGTGACCTTCCCCCCGATACCGCTTCCCCGCTAACGCGCGCGGAGTTAGAGCAAGTTTCTCCTTTCGGGGAGAGCGGCGGGAGGGGAGCGGCAGAGGTTGCGTGTCCATAAAAAAACCCCCCAAAACCTTGTAAATTTCAGACTTTGAAGGAGGAGATCTCCCGCTATTTCTGCTAGTAAATGACACCCCCCCCCCAACACCGGGGAGGGGGAGGTGACGAATCCCCCCAATTCTTTCCGAAGGCATGCTCTCGAGCCGTGTTGAGCTGGGCCACTGCCCGGCGCAACCTTCTCACCCCGCAAACTTAAAACCCCTGCCCCATGCAATAGCATCCTTCTATTTGCAACCGCCTCGGCCGGTGCGATCGTGCCACGGCGGAGTTTTGGGGAAAGATCGCACGCAGGAAAGAGTCTAATCTCTGCACGATTTAAACCCCGCCTCTCCCAGGGCAAGATGCCTTTCCCAAAGAGAAGGAATCTTGGTTTAAAAACACCGTCTCTTCCCATTGTTCATAGTGCTATCTACAGCAGCGAAGTTTTAAATACGTCCCAGGCAAATTTAAGTTTCCCTTTATTGCTGAGAAGTAAAACCCCCGTTGCCTGTCCCCCTCATTGATACAATTAAAATAATGCATAGCTGCGTGCAGAGATGTGTCTGCGATCTTGTGCCAGAAGGTAACATTTCAGAAATCGGTTTGACGTGAGGCTGGGGGTGGGGGGTGCTGATCCGACAGCCCTATAAAGATTAGAAAATGTCAGCCAGTGCCGAAACGGGCAGTGCGAAAACCAGCCCATTGGAAACAGTTCTCTGTCCCGAAATGTCACCGTGGATCCGCCGAGATCCGGTGTCTCTTTCCTCCCGTGGAAACCCCGCTTGCTTGCCTCAAACTCGGCTGGTTCTTCCTCCCTTCGCTACACCCCGCGGTGTAAAGACCGAGGAGGGTTTATTGCAGCAGAAGGGGGGCTGGAAAATGGGGCTCCCGGTTTCCGTGCGGAGTGTAACGAAATGCCTGTGGTTTGCTTGCAGGGGGGGCTGCCCGGGGGCCAGCCAAGGAGGACGCCAAAGCGGAGGACGACTCGAAAGGCAAGGAGGAGAGTTTCTCCATGGACAGCGATCTAGATTATAGTTCCGACGACAATCTCCCCAGCCAAGCCGCCCACAAAGAGGAGGACTCTGGCAACGTGCTGGAAGAAAACACCCAGAGCACCAATAACTCCAGCACCACCACGTCCACGGGCAAAAACCGCAGGAGGAGAACGGCCTTTACCAGCGAGCAGCTGCTGGAGCTGGAAAAGGAATTCCACTGCAAAAAGTACCTGTCTCTGACCGAGAGGTCCCAGATCGCTCACGCCCTCAAACTCAGCGAGGTGCAGGTGAAAATCTGGTTCCAGAACAGACGAGCCAAGTGGAAAAGGGTGAAAGCCGGCAACGCCAACTCCAAGACAGGAGAACCGTCCAGGAACCCCAAAATCGTGGTCCCCATCCCAGTCCACGTCAGCAGATTTGCCATCAGAAGTCAGCACCAGCAGCTGGAACAAGCCAGACCCTGATGCATTTCTGCTCCTCCCCCCCCCCCTTCCCCCCCATCCAAAAATATTGATCACTTGGGTTTAAAACAAACACGGGCAAACTTCAGGCTGAATCCAACCTATCAAGCCAAGCAAGAATCTTCGCGCAAGAGGCTCAAAACTGTGTTTTGTTTTGGAGGCGGAATACTAAACCCTTGAAGAGACAGAATAAATATTTATTATACTGTCCTACTTTGTATATAAAGTGTGGGATCTCAGCTGCAGTGTTTTGACTCTTATGGGACCAAGTAACCCGTAACACGAATTCTTACATTCCAGAAGAAAACCAACAGCGACAACCATTTAAAAAAAAAACTGCAATGCCTATTAACCATCTTTGGGGTTTTGTTTCTTATCATTTTGAAAGGTAAAAATGAAACAGAACTAAGAGGTTTGTTTTTCCCTTTTTTGGGGTTGGCTGAATGGCAAACAGTGGGGTGAATTATTTTAATATATATATCTATTTTTTGCCTGGCTTTCTGTCGATTTGGGTGGCATATTCTCCTAAGCCATGTTTGGCGAGCGCTCCTCTTTGTTGTGTTTTAATTTATTTTAATGTAGCCTCTTCCTGATAAGTTATGACATTTAAAAAAAAAAACAGTCTTGTGAATAAACACAAAAAAGCAGAAAACGAAAAAGCAAAACCTGACCGGCTTCTGTACAGAATTTCTTGTGCGAAAGAGCGCTCCCCCCTTCCTAGGACTATATGGATGTAGCTATGGGTTCTTAAAGGTGAGGTTTATTGGCAAGGGAAATGTTTAGCAAAATACCTACAGTTTAGTAACTCTGGGGGAAGGGAGAACTTGCTAGCAAGCTGCTGCTAGGGAAGCGAATTTCTTTCTAATCAACTGTAAACAAACCCGGGCGGAGAAGGGGTGTTCTGGCTCTGAGGTCACGGCCGTTCTGCCTGTGATTTTAGGGTCCTTGAATTGAAAAGTATCAGACAGGCCTCCCTCCCCCAGGCCTGTAAACAGCCCAAGACACACGCACCGCCACCAAACTATCCGGAGCTTTCGGTGCGGAGAAGTCGGTCCATGAATTATGCGGGTTCGAGTTCTGGCAGGGGGGATAAATCACACGCTAGTCCGGAGCTGCTACCGCTACCACCTCCTCGTGTGCAGGGCTACTGGGGAAGGGGGGGTGTCCAACCAGGAGAGAGATCCGGGCAGTGTGGGGCTGACGGAGGATTGCTTGCCCGCCCTGCCGCGCCGGCTCCGAGGAAGGCTGCCCTTGTCAATTTCCGCTAAGTCAGTATCTACTCGCTGCCTACCACCTCTCCGAGTAGGAGGAAGAGAAACTGACAACCCCCCTCCCCCAAAGTTGTCAGAACTGTGGACGGTCTTCAGTGCTATTTAAAAAGCAAAACTCCCCGTCCTCCAAGTTGTCTGTCGTGCCACACTCAGGGGTAGGTGCACAATGCAATCATCTGTCATGGCATGACGATATTCCGCCAAGCAAACTCCATGGGATTGGGGGAATTTTTCTTTTCCGTGTGCTCCTAGGATTAGGAGAGCAGCAAGGGAGGTTTAGGTTGGACATTAGGGAAAACTTCCTGCCTGTCAGGGTGGTGAAACACTGGAATAAATTGCTCAGGGAGGTTGTGGAATCTCCATCTCTGGAGATATTTAAGAGCAGGTTGGACAGACACCTGTCAGGGATGATCTAGACGGTGCTTGGTCCTGCCATGAGGGCAGGGGACTGAACTCGATGACCTCTCAAGGTCCCTTCTAGTTCTAGTGTTCTAGGATTCCCCACCCAAAGCTTGTTTGCTACCAAAAAAAATCTGATGGTTAACCATCACTAAAACTACTTACTACCTTGCCACTGAAGCGACGGGCCAAAAAATATGATCTCCATCGCTGCCCTCTAACGCATCTCCCGCGGGCATCAGCGACAGAGGGGAGCTACGCATAGAAAGGCCAGAATTAGAATCAAAAAACCGTTTGGCTAAATCAAATTTAAACCAAACCAAAAAAAAACCCCCCAGCAAGCTCCTAACCGGCTGCGAACGCGCATAATTAAGGCGAGCTGCAAGGAGCAATTTGCTATGCAGAGATTTTCCAACGAGGTTTCCCGTGGAAGCTTCAGTGAGTAAATCAAATGGTGCAGAAGGTCAATACCAATATTGACATAATTTATATCAGTCGCACTTCGTCGTGTTGGGTTGGTTGTTTTTAATGCGGGGGGTTTAAATCCCGTGAGAATGGTCTGGACGTGGAGCTTTGGAACCAGCGTGCGTAGGGGGCCCCGCTCACCACCCCTAAAAATATTTCCCGTGGAAGCTTCAGTGAGTAAATCAAATGGTGCAGAAGGTCAATACCAATATTGACATAATTTATATCAGTCGCACTTCGTCGTGTTGGGTTGGTTGTTTTTAATGCGGGGGGTTTAAATCCCGTGAGAATGGTCTGGACGTGGAGCTTTGGAACCAGCGTGCGTAGGGGGCCCCGCTCACCACCCCTAAAAATATCC